AGTGTGCATCGCCGCGATTCGTAGTGTTCTGCTTCACGGCTGCGAGACCTGGCCTCCGAGCGGAGGATGTTAATCGACTTTCCGTATTCGACCACCGATGCCTTGGAAGCATTGCTCATGTCTGATGGGAACATTGGGTGAGCAATGACGAGATTCGTCGTGTGCTGGGCACTGATAGTCGTTCTCTATCAGAAGAAATCGTTCTACACCGCCTCCGATGGCTCGGTCATGTTTTGCATATGCCTGTCCATCGACTACCTCGCCGTGCTTTCTTTGCATGTGTTGGGCAAGGTTGAAGAAGCTTCGCGGCGGTCAGACCGTGACGTAGCGTAGAGGCATGAAGAAGCTGGCTCTAGCATTGGCTTCGGTTGGTGCAGCTCGCCTTCCAGGTTGAGGCCCAAGGGATGAGGATTTCCGATGGCTAAAGGCGCTGGGAGATATGGCCTATAATCGATGACAGGGGTGCGATTTCTGTGCGATATTTTCGGTGAAAAACCGTTCCCCATAACAAAAAATCTTCAAAAAGTGTACGGTGAAACTACGAAAAAATTCCTTCATTCATACATTCGTTCTGCTTGTTCTCTGTTTTCCCCATTTTCATCTAATCTTTCTGTACCCCTCCATAACTTCATTGCCATTGTTTTGCATTGGCGCCATGCTTATTCTCAAGCAGATATAAAATGCACAACGCCACAACAGTAGTAGCATTAACAGGGGATTTTGGATTGGGATACGGAACAGAGTGAAATGGAGCTTAGACAGCTACGATGGATAACAGTAGATAACAAGAATGACATTTATTTTGTGCGTTTCACCGTACATAAAAAAATATTTTGTGTGTTACTTTATCGCTTTTTAAGGTGCACGGGATTTCGAGGTACGAGGTGCCTGTTGTCCTATACGTATCAGAGTACGCACATCAAAAGTGGCTAGTTTGAATTTACATCGGGGACGACGAAGGGCTTCCACCGATGGTGGGAATTGGATGGTAGCCGAGGTAGGACACGAGAGAATAACGGCAGAATTTCCGTCTGAGGCACTACTGTTTGTAAGATCATCTGAGGAACCCCGAGATAGGTGGAGGTATGTGAGGGGGGAGGTGAAGATGAAATGCGGGAAGGCTGGGGAAACATGTGGGCGTGTACGGTGTGGAATGTTTTTCGCTGGGTGAGGAAGAGTACAGATTCATAAGAGCAGGAAAGTTTGCCGGTAGGTTTAACACTGATTAAAAGCCATTTCTGATTCCAAATTCGGAATCCACACACTACTTTCGGATCCAGATGCGCCATATCCTTTTATTTTGGTGATGCATGCATTCAGCTGGTCACAAAAACGACTATCCCACTATCCCAAACACAGTATCGGGAGGAGAGCTCCGAGCCAGAGAACATGATCAAACCACTGTAGACAACGGTGTTGTAGCAGTGTGAATAGCTTTTCGATGGAACAACAGCACCGGCGAACTTCCTCGTTAGATAGCCTTCCCCTTACCTTCTCATCTAAATAGGACGCCAAAAGATAGCAACCCGAAAGTACATGGTTATTGGTTGTAAAAACTCGCAGCTGGATTTTGTCTTAGCTCGGCGTTCACATCTATCAAGTGGTTACCGGAATGTAGCCGTTGCCATATAGGTACTTTCTTGGAGTCACCACTCAAAGTTCAGTGAGTGGTGTGAACCAAAGGAAAGAAGCTGTTTTATAGGAGCATATCTGGCTCCTGAGCCAGAAATGCCAACACTACCGAGACCCCAACATCCAGTGAAGGGATCCTTTTTGGTCGCTGCTAACCCTTATGTATATATACAATGTAAGAATGTGTCAAGTGGATGGGAAGCGGTCATGTTTTGATTGAAGCGAAGGAAAGTCCAACACACTGAATACACAGTCTAACTTGACTACATATCTTCCTAGAGCCCATTTGAGAAAAAAACTGAAAAAGCACGCTATTGCTGTTGGTTTATTGCCATGTCTTTCAATCTTCTCACCAAATCGGCTACTGAGTCTTCTGGACCGCAACGTGAAAGTCGAGAGACATTCATTCTTCCTTATCTTTCCATGCACATTGTCTCCGCGTCATCTGCTGACCTCTATGTGAGTTGTGCGTCAGAGAAGACGACCGAATGGCCCATTTTCCGTTTACAAATTGAGGTGCATCTGATGAAACGAAAATGATGGAACACTTGGCAACATGATATAGATGGGATGCAGGAGCATAAAGCGAATATAGTAATAATAATGGTAATAATCATAATAGATATCGTCATCAGCAAGCATAAAATACGACAAAGCAGGCTGAAGTACAGAGTAAAGTCGTAAAATTCGCGCATGCTCTCTTTGAAGCCACACCAACAGACAGGTTCTTTCAGAACTATTTTCTGTCTCAACTCTCTTCGTCCTTTTGTGATTCATGTTAGTTTATCGTCGCTCATGGATGTACTCGATCTTTGTTCAGGTTTTGGACCCTTTTTAACATAGTTTTATCGTTTGCACCCTCGCACTTTATCAGGATGCTTTATAGTTTTGTTGGCAGTTTTTCGTTATACACTGTTGTGTGAGCGATAGTCACGGGAACCTGCTTAGGGGGAACTGTCAACCTAAGTGTCGGGTAAACCACATAAGGCCCCAATACCATAGGTGTGGTATTGAGTCGGACGACGTCGTAGCTGCCTAACACCAAAGTTGTATGGTGGTATTGGTATTCGAACCTAGCCTCGTAAGATACTAATTGCGCCACTGACTTAAACCGCTTGACCAATCCCACCCCAGCGCATTATCCATACCGCACCATAGAACTATCAATCGTAACACTGACAATCGCACTGTTCTCCTGTATATTTTTTCAGGCTGTGCCAAATTGCTCTGAATCACAGGATGTCCTTGAAAAAAGTAGACCGTCTTCAACGTCCGATGGTCAACTGGAAACTAATTCTCTGACCGATCAAACTGTTGTATCGACAGTGACAACTACAACCGCATCTGAAACTACTCAGTCCCAACCTGTCCCAGATTCGGATTCGAATCTGACTGCTCCTGTCCAGTCCGTCCCTGATTTTCAAATCACTCCGGATGTGCAGCCTAAAATGGACTGTACTAGCGATAACGATGGTAGCATCCTCGTTGAACCGGAGAGACAGAGCAACCGGGATGTCGTGGAAGAGGATGAACTGGATCTGGAGGATCGTCCATTGACCGTAGATATGCCTCATGAATCAGAGATGGTCGCCGGTGATGCGGACATACTCAAATCCTCTCCGAAACCAGCCCCCACTCCAATGGAATGTGAATCCTCAGAACTAGCGGTTGATGATATAGGTATGTTCTTCTGTGAAGGGTTCTTCGTTAGTAATCCACAATACCCGTAAGATTTTTGTAATTTTCTTCCTGCCTCATTACCATACAACAAACAAAGAGTGGGAAATTCAGATAGCGGTGGCAGTGGGATTTGAACACAGGTTCTCCGGAGCAATAATTTGGTGACCTTAATCAATCTGCCACTAAACTTCGCTTATCTTCTTTTTCTTTATCGTATCTGTTGCCTCAAACAAAATGGAACAATCCTAACGTGAAAATATCAATAAGCAACTGTTCAATTTTTTCCCGATAGAACACAATCTAGCGAACAACACTTGTTTTCAGTGACTCGTCTTCCTTGGCTAATACATCCCAATTTATACAAATCAGGTTTAAAATTAATGAGGGCGATGGTATCACGTAAAATAAAATAAACTGGAGAAAACATCGATACTGTCCACCGCTTCCGGTATGTGGTGTCTAGCCCGAATGTGACGAAGATTGGGACAGACGAGTGAACATGGGGTGGGTGGAGGGCCATGGGAGACACGTCCACGTTCCCAGATTGTTTTCGTTCAGACAAGACCACCAGGCATTATCTGCTTTTTTCCGAGTTTGATTAATTTTATTTTGCACTTGATATCATCGTCATTCATTTTGATCTGAGTTATCTAAATTGTGATGTATTGGCCAAAGAATATGAGTCACTGAAAACAGATCTTGTTCGCTGCATTGCGTTCTATTCAAAATGTTTATTGGTCGTCTAATTGGACAATACGATTTTCTACTTGAAACATGTAAATTATTATCGGTGGTCGTATATTTGCTGTTGCTAATGACCGATTGTCAAGCACCCGTAGTCCGTTAAAACACTGTCGTGAATAATGCTAACAGTATATGGATTTGGCGTTTCGTTCCATGGAAACAGTGTATGAAGTAGATTTCATGGAGATGAGAACCCGCTACATTCTTATTGGGGCTGACTAACTTCGTCTTGCCGAACACTGTGTGATCCAAACAAGGTAAATGTCGATTTTGTCAGGTAGTTGCCAATCGGTCAAGTTCACAACCTAGGTGACATTAACGGGTCTTAAATCTGGGACCCATATACCATACTTTGTCGGTGACAATAAATAGGATTTTTCTGTTTGGGCGGATCGTATAAAACCTAACACAGAATCATTTCAATGAT